AAGGAAGGAAGGAAGGAAGGAAGGAAGGAAGGAAGGAAGGAAGGAAGACAGAAATGCTAAACCAGTTTCTTTCTCTTTCAGAGAAATATAGGTTTGGGAGCTGAAGGAAATTCCATTAACAACACCTACAAAGACTAAGGGTACATAGGCATCACTGGCTAACCGCTGTCCTCAAAAGATGCTGACTGATGATGCACACTCCTACTTATATGGTATTCCTTCCTACATGCCATAGGAAAGTGGTACCCCTGAAGTTTCACTGTGCAGCAACACAGCCTGGATCGGAGGAATTACTCTCTAAATACATGGTTGAAAAGGACAGAAGTGGATGAAATAGCAAAAGTTATTTGATTCAGAGCATTAGGAAAACATAAATCAATAGTTCTGTGTGACAGTTATTTTTGTCCCCCAGAAAACATAAGGCAATGTCCAGAGACAACTCCAGTTGTCCCTAGTTGCCACTGAAATCTCACAGGAGACACCAAGATGCTGTAAAATACCCACAAAATACTGAACAGCCCCTTCACTAGCAAAGAATTACCCTACTACAAATGCCAATTGTGCTAAAAACATCTAGGTATTGATTTAAGACATGAATCACAGTTACGACAATTAAAAGCCAATGTTTACATGCCAGCAATACAGAGTGTTGCATTAGTACCACCAAACCCAAAGGAATTGGTGAGTCCAATACATCGACCCTCAGTTTTCCATTCCTGTGCTTCCAGTGGGACGTAATTGAGATCAAATTCTGGCTCTATACAGTCCAGGTTTAAAGTTGGTGGTAGTTTTTGATGGTAGCAAGCCAGTGCGGTAAAAGCTGCCTCAACTGCCCCTGCTGCCCCCAGCAGGTGCCCAGTGGCTCCCTTTGTGGAGGACACAGCAAGGGCACAGGCATGGTCTTTAAAGAGCCTCTTGATGGCTCTGTTCTCAGCGGCATCACCCAGAGGTGTGGAGGTGGCGTGTGCGTTGACATAAGATATCTGTTCGGGTAATACACGTGCGTCTTTTATAGCAGCAGCCATACATCTGGGTAAAAAACAAATTAAAAATATTAAATGAAGTTTAATTTTAACAGATTGTTCACCTGAGCAGCTGGTGTGAAATAAGGCTTCCAAGTACACTGGGGGGGGGGGGGGGGGGGGGGGCATCCCGAGTGTCATAGCTGATACCCTATGAGCCACAAAGCCAAAAATAGCTAGTATTTGTCCCTTAATAGAAAATCTTGCTAAACTCTTAGGGGATTTAACTGGATAAAACATAGTACGGTCTCAGCTAAAGTGTAGTCTTTAGAGTGGAGCTAGTTAGAAATGTAGATTCTCAAGGGTCAACCTGGACCCACAGTCAGAATGGGCATGTTAGCAATACCTCTGGGTGACTCAGAGCTGGCAAAGGCTGCTTTGAAAAGAACAGAAGCCACCAGACACATCTAGCAGGTCTGCTGTTATTTTCCAGCTCTGAGTCCAAAGGGAGACAAAGGAAGGGAGCACACTCAAGATTACAAAGCAGCAAGGGGGACATAGGAATCCAGAAAAGACATAACTCTATTGGCTTTGACTAAAGTGCACTCAATTTTTGTTTAAAGATTTTCAAATGTTTTTAAACATTTCAAGCAAAGAATTACAAAAAATACTTTTTGTCTAAGACAGAAAATATATACTATACATCAAGACTAGATAATTTTTTCAAATCTAAAGTTCCAGTAGTGTCTTACAATATCTTAACAGGAAAAAATACTTGCAGAACAACCGGGCTTTACCTTAAGGCACCTTCTCCTTCAGGATCAGGGGCAGTTATGTGATCAGCATCACCTGAGAGTCCATAACCCAAAACTTCTGCGTAGATCCGGGCTCCTCTCCGAATAGCATGCTCATGCTCTTCCAACACCAACACAGCGGCACCTTCACCCATGACAAAACCATCTCTCTTTGGATGAAATGGGCGGCAAGCCAGTTTAGGATCTGGGTTTGTGCTCAGAGCCCGGGCTCTGGAAAACCCAGCAAGAGATAATGGACTAATGCAAGAATCTGTGCCTCCAGCTACCATGACATCCGCATCACCGTGGGCTATAAATCTGAAGGAGTCTCCCACAGCGTGTGCACCGGTCGTGCAGGCTGTGGACACTGTGTGATTAGGGCCCTTCAGTTTATAACGAATGCTGACCTGCCCTGCAGCCATATTAACCAGAATCTTAGGGACAAAGAATGGGCTGACTTTATTATAGCCTTTGGTCTGAAACATCAAAGCAGTCTCGGAAATAACTTCAAGAGGAACCATGCCCATGCCAATGGCAACACCAGTAGCCACCTGATCTGCTTCTACCTTCGGATGCCAGCCAGAGTCTTTCAGGGCTAACTCTGCCGCCCCGATGGCCATGATGGTGGGAGACGACATGGACTTGGCGTCTGATTTGGACACAAAGTTTTGTTCATTAAACTGACCGTTATCAGAACCTCTGGGCACATAAGCAGCTACACTGCAAGGAATACTCTTGTACTCATTACCAACTACAGAAACAATTCCACTTTCTCCTCGGAGAAGCCGATCCCAAACTACTTGAGTCCCAACTCCAAGTGGTGTCACCAGTCCAATGCCGGTGATGACAACTCGCCTGCGCAACATGGCTGCTGGCATAGTTCCAGAAAACTTGCGTTTGCCTATTAACCAACAGCAGGACGCTGGAAATGGATGGGAGCGTGTGCCTTTTAGAAACTTTTGCAAGCAGTTTGACAACATGGCTGAAATTCAGAACACCAGAAACACATTCCTGAAACAGACCACAAGAGACAGCAAGTGTCCTTTAAACAACGGAAGGGTCTAATAAATACCCCAGGTATGCTTGGGTCATATGCTAAAGGCCACAAAGAAAGGCAACCCTCCCTTGGACTTTCATTTTTAAGCTATGGGGACCCTCGGATAGTCCACTGCTAACTAGCTCAGTAAGTTTTAAGAGACTTGGACAATGGAAGCCTCGAAGCCAACCCACCCTGCAGGAGACCTCCTTCGGGCTGACCAAGGATTACTGCATGGTGCGGACTGAGAGTCTACGTGGCATTTCTAAGGTCAATACACAGACGGTCTCATTCTGTGAAGTTCGCTCTATCTACTTCCGTGTAAGGCAGGAAACCTTTCCGGCGGCCCCGCCACGACCCAGCGCAGCCGCGGCAAGAAGGCCAATGTTACTTCCCCAGGTCAGCGTTAGGCGCTCTCAGGCCTCCACCTCCATGCCACGCCCTCCACCTCCACGCTAAAACCCGGGTGCACTCGGCCGCCAAAGCCGACTGTAGCCACTACCTGAAATAAGACTTGGCAGGCGCCGGCGTATGCGCATGCGCGCATCCGCCTATAGGGCGGTATTTCCGCCCGGAGACCGGTGCCTGGTGTCAGAGGTCAGACACGGGGGCAGGACTTCCGACGAGTTTGTAGGCTGTGAGTCCGCCGCTCTGTTCCCGGAACTTCTTTTGTTTGCTTGGCAAGTCTGAGGTTGGGCCGCAGCAATAATGCCCAGATATTCCGGTGTTGCCACAGAAGGGAGGCTCTCATTTCCTGCTGGACATACAGCTCTACAGGCATCCTCAAAATCAGGCCTCCCTGGTTATCTGTCTGGAAAGTATTGATAGAACTCTTCAGAATTCCACTCACCATGAAACCGAGATCATTTGGGAGAACATCCATATGTCACGCAGCCACTGAAAACAGTGCTACGGGTGAATAATTCTCATGTGCAAAGATGTTGACAATATGTTACGAGATTTTAAAGGTCTGCCAAGGAATTGGGCGAGATGTACATGTCCCCAGTTTCAGCACTTGGGAAGCAGAGGACCAGGAGCTCAGTCCTCAGCTCTGCAGTCCAAGAGCAAGGCCAGGCTGGGTTACCTACCTGAAGTCTATAGTAATGTGCAGTGGTTTAGGTTTCTCGCCTCCGTTTTCCCAGTACCCTTATTTACCATAGTAGACAAATAAAGTATACAACTGCTTCTGTGAAAATGAAATTTTTAATTGCTGACTCATGTCAGGAAGTGAACGGAATATGCCCAATATCTGAAGTGGAAACAATGAAAAAAAAAACACGTTTATTAATGAAATTATGAAAAGTGAACTTGCTCAGAACTGACTGAATCTGTAATGGGAAAGTATGAAAAGCACCAACACATCGAGGGGTTGTTTATTAACCAAATGTTCAGGGCTATCCCAGGTGCGAGCTTTCGTTTTTTGTTTTGTTTCTTTCAGACAAAGAATTGACTATGCCATCTGCATCAGAATCTTGTAGTAATGCTCTTGTCTCCTTGTGGGTGATACCTCTTAAGGCCATTGTTGCCAAGTATAACTACTGTTTTGTCTTTTCCAACTGTAGAAAGAATTTGGGTTAAGTTTAGCTTTTTCCTCATTAGTCCTGGATAGGATTTCTTTGGAAGTCTACTTTGTCTAAAATGTTTAGGGAAACCCAGTTTGTCCTTGATCCCAGACTTCTCCACTTACTTAGTATCATCTCCCAGCAGAGAAAATAGTGCAACTCCCGCCGGTACTTTCTGGCAATTTGTATGTAATATTGCTCCAGTTGCAAGCAGCCTCCGATCTCCCAAGGTGCTGGGGTATATAGACTGTGGAAGGTTAACTGAAAGAAGTCTACGCAGCCGCGGAGAAGTCATGTCATGCTGCTGCAGTGAAACTTTGGTGGTGCAGATATTTTGGGGTCTCCCCACACTCTTGTAAGCAACCCTTCACCCATTCTCTCAAGGTAAGCCGAATAAACTTAAGAGTTACTCCAAGCTGTACTTAGGGGATCTTGCTTTGATTTATTATAAGGAGGGTGGGTATTTCTTTACATCTTCCCAGGGAAATAATTTTCAAAACGATGCACACACACAGAAAAAGTGATATAACAAGACTGTAATTTATATTTCTGTTCTCTCTGTGATTATTTTACTGCCCTCTAGAAAGGGATAAAGTTTATAAAATCCTAATAGCTGTACTTGAGTTAGTACCATATTTCTTGCTACAGTATCATGGTGTATTCTTGAACACAGATCTTCAAATTGGTTATGCTTATCCAGCCTATTAAAATTTCTCTGGTTCAAAGATTTTTTCTAAATACAATTCCCAATTAAGTACACTTTCTATCTAACAAGTTGAACTTCTCACTGTAACATTACTGTAACGCACAGAAGCTGATGAGGTCAGTGCTACCCCATTAAGTCAGGAAGTGCTTCAAAGATGTGCATCTTGATTTCAATCTGTGACATGAGTGTGAATACGTGTGTAGTGAACTGGTGGAAACAGACATTGCAGCAGCCAGCAATGCAATAATGCAGAAAACACCAGGGCCATGTGGCCAGCGTCGAATTAGAGAAGTTGGACTCAGTAATTAAAGGTGCCTGCCACCAATAAAGTCACCTGCTTTATGACCTGAATTCCATTCCCAGAACACACCCTCTCTCTCTCTGTTTCTTTGTTTATTTGGTTTTTGGTTTGGCTTTGTTGTTTTGTTTAGGTTTTTCAAGAGAGGGTTTTACTGTGCAGTGCCAGCTGTCCTGGAATTCACTCTGTAGACCAGGCTGGCCTCGAACTCACAGAAATTTGCCTGTCTCTGCCTCCTCAAGTGCTGGGATTAAAAGGCGTGCACCACCACGACTCAGCCATTAAAGGCAAGGCTCACAACCATTTCCAAAACTCTCACATTGGAAGTAAAGTGCCAACTTTCAGAAGTTGTCCTCTGATATCCAAATGGCATGGTCAGGGCATTGTATGTATGTGTTTAAAACACACACACATAAAATTAAATTAAATTAAACATTTTCAAATAAAAAAATGAGGATCGAGCCAGGTGTTGAGGGGCACACCGTTAATCATAGCACTTGGGGAGGCAGAGGCAGAGGCAGACAGATCTCTGTGAGTTTGAGGCCAGCCTGGTCTACAAAGCGAGTCCATGACAGCTAAGTCTGCACAGAAAAATTCAATCTCAAAAACAAAACAAAACAAACAAACAAACAAAAAACCCACCAAAATCCGAGGGCTGGAGAAATGGCACAGAGGCAAAGGCCTTATAGTTCCAGAGAGTTGGTATCTATTATTGTAGAGAGAGCATGCCAGCAGGAAGCAAGCATGGTGGCTGGAACAGGAAGCTGAAATCTCACATCCTCTACCATAAGCATGAAGCCAAAAGAGCAAACAAAGTAGTTTGTTGAACTACTTTTAGTGATATACTTCTTCCAACAACGCTGTATCACCTAAATGTCCCCAGACTGTGCCACTGACTAGAAACTGGAGACTGTGGGAAACATTTTTCATTCAAACCACCACATCCCACTCTCTGGTCTTCTTAGGTTCCCGGCCATATAATGCAAGATGCATTTAGTGCAACTTAAAAAATCCCTGTAGTCTTTCCCAATCTTAATGCTGTTTAAGAGCCTAAAGTCTCTTCTAAGATGCAAAGCATTTCAGAATGTAACCTTATGTAAAATCAAAAGGAAAATCATGTATTTCCAACATACAGTACAGAATATGCATTACCATTCCAAAAGCGTGGAAGTGGAACATTATAAGAAAATACTGGACCAAAACATGATCAGAATCTAGCAGGACAAACACCAAATCCTGTAGCTCCATGTCTTCTGTGAAGGGCTTAGGTGGCTCTACCCCTTCAACTTTCCTGCCTGTAGCATATTCTCTCTATTGGGAGAATCTATATGCTGCTCTCCTTGGCAGATTTCTCATGGTGTTGACACCTCTAGCATCTTGTGGTCTCCGCTGCAACCCAAGCTTCCCTTTCACAGCTCCACACAATGGTCTCTCAGGGCCTTTTACTCTCTCAGGACCTTCATGCAGAGACTTCTTTGCCACATCCTGCCTGGCCTACGAGGAGCTCTGAAGCCACAGAAGGAATATCTATGACCCCCGCACTCTTGTATTCTTTATGTCTAAAGCTAGCATCACACAGCCACATGTGGCTACCAGCTGGTGATGGAGTCCCTTGAATCACTTTAGCAGCAATGCTTTTATTCAGATGGTTTCTGAGATCAGAAAATGCCTTAGGCTGTTTTTTACAAGCTGCAAGCTCGGCTGGGCGGGGACTCACCCAGAGAGTACTCTTTTCCTTTCTTCCAGTTAAGGTGAACTTCTCAACTAATCATCCTCTCTGCAGCACACGCCTTGGCTGTAATGTTAAGCTGCCTATAGCTCTTTTTCTCTACAAACTGTACATTTCATCACAGCAATGTCCTAATCTCTTAGTACCAATGTCTGTTAGTGCTAAGCTTTTCTATTGCTGTGATAAAATGCCACGACCAAGACAACTTATAAAACAGTTTATCTTGGCTTATGGTTCCAAAGACTGGAGTCCATATTGGCAGGACAGCATGGCCGCAGGCATAGCAGCCAGAGCAAGAAATTGATAGCTCACATTCTTTACAAGTGGTAAAGAATGAGTGGACTAGAGGGAGGGCTGGGGTATATGATCTCAAAACCTGCCTCTGGTGATGTACTTTTTCCAACAAGGCTGCACCACCCGGCCTGCCTGAACCTTTTACATACTGGGATTACAAATATCAGTCGGCACTCCCAGCACTCAGCCGGGAACATAGCACTCTTCGAAGTTGGACCACAAACGTGATTACTTCGTTATGAGCTAGAGAAAAGTTTCAAGTGGTTAGCCACTGGAATTTTTTTTTTTTTTTCTTTTTAGTTTTTCAAGACAGAGTTTCTCTGTGTAGCCTTGGCTGTCCTGGACTCCCTTTGTAGACTATGCTGGGCCGTGAACTCACAGAGATCTGCCTGCCGCTGCCTCCCTGAATGCAGGGATTACAGGCGTGCACCACTGTGCCTGGCTTCCACTGAAAGTTTTAAACAACAGCTAATAAGATAATCTCTGTTGAACATACTGTTCTCTTTTAAAAATTTGTTCTTTCACAGGCCCATAGATATATAATTTTCTTTGACCATGATCCATCCATTATTCTTGCATCCCCTTTGCCCTCCCCTTTAAACTCTTCTTCCCTAAGACTCCCTCCTAATTTCATGTCTTTTGGTGGTGGTGGTGGTGGCAGTGGTAGTGTGTATGTGTTGTATACGTTTAAAGGGTCTGGTGTAGCCCAGGCTGGCCTCAACCTCACTATGAAACCAAGGTTAACCTTGAACTTTTGATTCTCTTGCCTCTCCTTCCAAGTTCTGAGATTTGCCAACATGCCCAGCTGAACACTTTTTAAGTTGGCCCTCAAACCTAAATGCTAAAAGTTTGGGTATATTTGACAGGTGAATATTCAGAAGTTCTAGAATTCTCAGAACAATTGCCCAAAAATACTAGAAGATTTCAAATTTTAAAAAGCAACAGATTATAATGTGTCAAAAAAGAGGTCATATAAGGAAATATCTTTAAAACACAAGACCAAGAAACACTTGCTAGCCAGCCTAGTGGTTCATACATGTAGTTGAAGCTATTTGAGTATGGAAAGCTCCAGGTCTGACTGGGCTGTGGATAGAAGTCCACCCTTGGAAACACCTCAACATTAAAAAGTAATAAAGCCAGGTGGTAGAGGCCCAGCCTGTAATCCCAGTACTCAGGAGGCAGAGCTCAGACAGATCTCTGACTTTGAGGGCTGGCTTGGCCTACAGATTGAGTTCCAGGATAGCCACAGAGAAACCCTGTCTTGAAAAACAAAACAAAGTAATAATGTCTGAGTATGTAGGTCAGTGCTAGAGCGGCTGCCCAGCATGTAGAAAACTTCCAGGGTTCAAGGACCCTACGAGAACAATACATATTTGTTGAAGTCTGGAATTCCTGGGAGGGAAAAGTCATTGGTAAAGAGGTATCTAAGATAAAGGACACTGGTAGATGACAGGTCTGCATACGTCAAAAGATGCAGTGTGTGTATAAACTTTATTATCTTCTTTGTTCCTCATTTTATTCTATTACTGTATATGGGTTTTATGTGGGTTGCCACATGATAAACTGTGTCCCCAACTCCTTAAGGGCTGCAATATGCTATTTAAAAATGTTCCTTAGAAGCCGGGCGTGGCTGTTCATGCCTGTAATGCCAGCGTTCTGAGAGGCAGAGGCAGGCAGACCTCTGAAGTCGAGGCCAGCCTGGTCTACAAAGCCAGTCCAGGACAGCCAAGGCTACAGAGAGAAACTCTGACTCTAAAAAAACAAACAAACAAAAAAAAACAAAAACAAAAACAAAAAAAAAAACCGCTCCTTTTAGCAGAATCACACCTGTGAGCAAGGAATTTAGGTGATGTTCCTCAATATAATTCCGAAAGAATATATGCGTCAGAAACCCAGCAGAGTTCAGAGCCATGCTTTTTTTTTCTCCATGACCAAGGCAGTGTTTAATGCATTGAGTTTTAAAGCACAATGGTAGTATTTTGTGCTTGCCTATCAGTTGGTACCATTTACAGTTTAACACATACTCACTTTTACACAAAGATCCACATTGCATAGTTTGGGAACCTATGAAAGCTCTGAACTATACTCGCAGGTTTGTTCGATCATGGTACATCTGGTACGGATCACTGACAAACCAGCTGCGCCTCTTCCAGAAAGACGTCATTTTATCTAGGAGTTTACTCTGGGTCTTGTTGCAGAACACAAATTCCCTCAAGCGCTTCATTCTTGCAGTTGACTTTTTCCGTGCTTTTGTTTCTGAAGCCAGGCAGCTGTAATCATAGACTGGGCAGGGCTGCCACGAATTCAAGAATTTGAGGCATGGTAGGCAGTCGACCAGATCTATTTTTCTTCTTTTTTTTTTTTTTTTATTAATTAAATTCAATTTACATCTCGGTCATAGGCCCCTCCTTCCTCTCCTACCAGTACCCCACCCCCTCGTATCACTCCCCTCTATTATTCCTCAGGGGAGCCTCCCTACCCAGACACCCAAACTCTACTATTCACCGCGGACTGAGTTCCTCGTCCTCCCCTGGGGCTGTGTTGCCCGTTTTTGGTTTTTTTTTTTTTTTTTTTTTTTGATCACTTCCTCCTGAAAGGACTGTTCTACCTCGCCAGCCAGATCTTACTCCGCCTCTCCGCGCCTCGCCCCGCCCCCTGGAGCCGAGGCCCCGGCCCGCCCCGCCCCCTGGCTTCGGGCCTCCGTGGCGGCCCAGGCGCTTCAGCGCCTGCTCAGTCGGGCCGCGGCGCGCGTGGTGGCGAAGGCTGCCGCTCAGCCATGGCGTCGGCCGCTCTGGGCAGCTCGTCGAGCTCGGCGTCCCCGGCCGTGGCCGAGCTCTGCCAGAACACCCCGGAGACCTTTCTGGAGGCCTCCAAGCTGCTGCTCACCTACGCCGACAACATCCTGAGGTGCAGCCGGGGCCCTGGAGCTGAGGGCCGCAGGCGGGCGGGGCCGCCGGCGCTCGGCCTGAGGCGGGGCGGGCAGGGCGACGAGGGCTCGCCGGGCTGTCACCGCCTCTGACAGCCCGTCACAGCCGGATCCCGGCTCTGTGCCCCTGCCCGAGTGCGGCTTCAGTATTCACGCCGTGTTCGGTGGTTAAAACATTTGTAGTTCAGAGTTAGGAAGTTTGTTTTGATTTCTGGGCTTTACTTCAGCCTGACTCCTTAAGAGTTTTGAAGGAAAGCAGGCTGGAGAAGTCACCTTGATTCTGTGCAGCACTCTCCACAGCCGCTCCTCTCGGGGCCCAGTTGGAAGTTTGAGTCAGCACCCTCCTGTAGCCCTTTGGATCCGGTGGAGCTCCTTAGGGAAGGTGTGCTGGAGGGGCGGACGGTGGAGGCAGAGAGAGTTTGAGGGGTGACTTGATGTCTCCAGGCACTGGCTCTTACAAATACTCCGACACGAACTCTGTAGGAATTCCCAGCTTCAAGGCTGTACAATTCATGTGGCCCAGTTTTAGAGAATTAGTTGGGAAGGATTTGTGTTGCCCTGTAGACCAGGCTGGCATAGAACTTGCTCTGTAGCCCAGAACCCATGCCAGGCCTTCTGCCTCGACCTTCCAAGTGCTGAGGTTTGCGCCACCATAACCAAAACTGTTCATTTAGGTAACATTAGTGACTTTCAAAATAAATCGAGCGAGAACATATGTGATTCTGTGCCAGATGTTATGCAGCATTGGCCCTGCTCACAGGTACATAATTGTGACCTGTGTGACCATCACCTTCCTTCTTTGTGACACCTCAGCTTAACCTCTGTGGCCCAAGATTTTACAGCACCTCAGAGTGTGATTCCTGTGGAGTGTGAAAGAACTCATAAGCTTGATTTTCCAGAGCCCATGGCTGAGGTTTCCTCCTGAATTCTTTAAGTCCCACCCCCCAACTCCTTGTACAGAAAAGAGATGGATTTGTAAAGACATCTCAATTGTACTTTCAGTACACTGAAGGCAAAGATGCTAAGATACTTTGAAAGACAGCTTTCTATGCAGACAATGATTTGGGATTATAACCATCATTATGAATGTTTACTAAACTAAAAGAAGCTGTGGTTCATTCTACAGCCTTTACTGATCTTGAGTTTTTGTCTAAAAAGAAAATTATTCAGAGTGCTGTGAAAATATGTTTGTAGCTTGTTTTCAACAGCAGTGTCCTTGTGTTCTTAGAATTCAAGGTCTGGCTTGGTTGGGAGGTAGTATCCTTCATGTCCAAATCCAGTGACTTCCTAACTCTTAAGGAAATGCTCCACATGTCTTCCTGGTCCCTGGCCATACATTATAACTATACTTCTCTAATTTGAGTAAAGAGAAAGGGGTGTCTGATTCCACTGCTGTTTTCTTAATCTACTAGCAGCAGGGTAAAGACATTTCTGAAGGCATATTGTCCCACTATCTCTTCTGCCTCAGTCTCAGTTTATAGAGTGGATGTGCAAATAAAAATTCATTAGCATATTTTAAACTGATACTTGCTACTGTAATCTCCAGTGAAATAATACTTTTAAATTTCTGTTTGATGATGTTTATTGGATTTCCTAGCAATAAGTATAATTAAACCTAAGAAAGAAATGTGAGCTAATTTGTATGCAAAAGCTGTACCCAGTTTTAGACAAGATGAACTCAAAACTGTCAACTTTCTCAAAAGCAAAACAAGTAACTATGTTTTAGTTTCACTGACATCACAGGTGGGCTGTTTAGCTAATTTGATTCATGTATCAAAGTTTGGCCAGGAATTTGTCATGTATCTAAGAATAATCTTGAACTTCTTATCCTCTTACCTACACCTCTAGATTATAAGTGTAGGCTAACATACTTGCTGTTATGAGCTGCTGCAGATTGAGCCAGGTCTCCACAAATGCTGGGCAAGTGGTCTACCTCCTGAGTGTATCCCTAGCCCCTAATTTATTTATTCTTTAATATACTTATTTGATTGTCTACTATTTTGTTTACAGAGCACATGCAGTTATTGATTATTAACTGTTCTGGATGTTAATGAGAAGAATCAAGAATCAAATTTCTTTGTTCAAAGAATATAAATATATTTGGGAGAAGATGGGTCTGAAAAACAGCTATAGCATAACATCAAAGAACAATTCCAAGATATTGCTTATGCCTCTGTATTTATACTCTTATGTTGGGAGATAGCAGGAAGACCCAACATGAGATAATAAAGAATAGAGGTTTCCTAAGAGTAGAACCAGTTGGTGGAGTGACATTATGTGAAGTGCCATGCAAAAGGAACTCAGTTTCTGGAGTGGAGTTTCATGAGGAATAGCATTACAAGAAACTTAGGCAGTGATTGTGAAGCCATTGCATACTCATAACCATACATGCAGATGGAATGGAGAAAGATCATTTTCAATGGCAATGCAAGAAGTAATGGAAGACATAAATAATAAAACTGACTTCTAATTTTTTTTTTCATTTTGGTTTTTTTGACACAGGGTTTCTCTGTGTAGCCATGGCTGTCCTGGACTCACTTGAACTCACAGGGATCCTCTTGCCTCTGCCTCTCTGAGTGCTAGAATTCCAGGTGTTAACCACTGCAGCTGGCTCTGACTTCTGATTTTTAATGTAGGTTGCCACTGACACATAGAGAAATGGAGTATGAATAGTTGAGAATTGGTGAGTTTGTTAGCAGCTTATATGGTGAAATATGTGTAGACTTTATAAGCAAAGCAGTAAGTTTCAGTTCTAGTCAGATGTTTTTTAAGTGATCATAGGCAATATAATTTCCAAGTTTGAGTTTTCTTACTTATAAAAAGGAAGAAAAATATTCTAGGACTGCCACAACATAAAATGTAAATGCTTGTCTGGACTTCTCACTCTTTAAGTTAGTATCCATAATGCCATGTAAGAGTGCAACTGATATAGAATGTAAAAGAAATATATGCACACTCTTTAAAAAAGTTGCTATATATTACCAGTTGTATTATTTTTTTATCAGAAACCCAAATGATGAAAAATACAGATCCATCCGTATTGGGAACACAGCTTTTTCTACTAGACTCTTGCCTGTCAGAGGAGCTGTTGAATGTTTATTTGAAATGGGCTTTGAAGAGGTGAGTGTGTGTAAGGGCCTCCTCCCCACTATATATGTGTAAAGCAAATGGTGGTGTGAATGCTCGCTTGAATGAAATATTTGATCATTTTAGAAACGGGTAAAACTATTTTTTAACCTGTTATACATTTTTAAAGTATGAATTCAATTAATTTAAAAATGAAATCAAGATAAAATTTAACAAGTCTCTACAGGTAAGGATTCTTAAGTCTCAATGTTTAGAATAAAGAAGGTCAAATACAACCCAAGGATCAAATGTAGCCCTTCAGTCTTCCAGCTGCATACTCAATCTGTAAGTATGCATAAGATATCACCATTGTCTCCAGTAAGAAGTAGAATAAGTGAAATAAACACAGAAAATATGAAGTCAGTTGCCCACAGAATGTTTGTTTTTTTTTTCTGTGAAAGGAATCTCAAGGTGTTTTATCATTTTTATTGTACAAGAAATTTTTGTTGTTTCCATCCTCTCAAGCCTTGTGGCAGAGTTTACTATTATAGTAAATTAAATTCTAATACAGTAAATGTAATTATTAAAATTGTTAATTTTAGTGAGGCATGCTGTCTGCTATATACTTACTATCTGTCTACTTGGGAAGCTGAGGCTGGAAAACTTAAGTTCAGGGCAACCTGGATTACATAGTAAGACCCTTGTCTCTAAAAGACAGACAGACAATTTTGAATCTTCTGTGGATCCCTATTCCTAGTGTGTAGGATATTAAAAGAAGTTGAGTAGGACTACAGTTGCCAGTGGCAGTCTGAGTCAGCATTTGTAGATATTGTTAAAGAAATGGGATATAGTTTTTTTTCTCTCTGCCCTTCCTACTTAAATTCTATTGCACACCATGAGGGTGTAGCAGTGAAGTAAGTTAATACAATCCTATCTCACCCAGATCTTAGGCTCTAATAGGTTAGAAAACATGAAAGAGGCAACAGAAGTAAAGAAGAAAGCAAGGCACGGTACTGCACTCACAGCTGTTAGAGTTGCAGGCACTGTAGCAGTGAGGGAACTATGGAAGGTAGTTACCTGAGTAGGTAAAGGTAAGACCTGAGTGGCAGGAAACTACATGCAGAGGATTGGCATGTGCAACAGCTTCTAGCTGCAGTAGCGCTGACACAGGCATAGACAGAAACCAGGCCATATCAAGGTAAAGACAGATTTTTAAATGAGATAGGAAGCTGTGGTAGTTAATCTTGAATATCAGTTTGATTCAATTGATAAACACCTGGGAGGTTAGCAAAACACACTTCTAATCCATGAGACTATTTCTAGAGACCAAAGCAAGGAGGTCCATGACTAAAAGAATGAATCTCTTGAGGGATTCAAACTTTGAGTAGATTATTTAGGAGTAGAATTATGAAGGTGGGGCCTCAGCGGAGGAAAGAGGTCTCTAGGGACATGTCTTTGGATACTTATCCTGGTCTCTTCCTGTTACTCCTCTGCTGTACTTCTGTCTGCCTAGACATGTCACCTCCTCCACATGATCTTACTGCCATGATATTCTGCCTGGCCATGGGCCCAGAAACATGTTGCGAAGTGACTAAGGACTGAACCCTCTGAACCTGAGCCAAAATAAACCCTCCTTTATATTGTTTGTGTCAGAGACAAGAAAAAGAACTAATATTGTGGCCATTGGAAAGGTTGAGGCAGGGAAGAATATTTTCAAATATTATGTTACTGTAAAGAGAATATTCTGGGAGAGGGCTACAGCTGGGATACAAGTGAATGTATAAAATTATTTAAAAATAAAAAATATTAAAAAACAAAGTAAATAACCTGTGATTAATATAAAAAATAAATTAATAAAAAAGAATATTCTGTATAATCTGGAGTGCAGGCAAGGAAGGGGTGATGGTACAGGGAAAGAAATTTAGCTTGTTAACTGCTATAAGAAGGTTTGACAATAGTTATGTAAATTTTGGAAGAGCCTGTGTCTATTTGCTTTTAGTGGTCCTAGCTCCTAGAATTTTGCGATTATAGCAGATAGTAGGCTATAAACAGTTGCTGAATTTAAGCACTGATGGCAGAGAAACAAGAACTAGATGGATTCAGGAATAGTATGTGTGTATGTGTGTAGAGGAACCAATAGGTCTTGATTAATTAAACATTTTGTACAGGGGAAAGGAAGAAATTGGGGACATCTAGGTTTAGGTTTCAGATACTAAGTAGATAGGAGTACCACTAATTGAGATGAAAAAATCTTGGAAAGTGGCAGTTTTTTGTTTGTTTGTTTGTTTGTTTGTTTTGTTTTTACAGGAAAAAAGCACTGCCTTGCTTTTGGGCAGTTTTGACTACTTTGCTGTTAAATACTGTAAAATTACTTAAAAATATTGATTAGTCACTTGAATAAAATAAGGTCAAAAATCAGAAGAGATCTGGCCAGAAATATAAAGCATGGTGTCATTTGATTACAGGTTATATATAAACATCTGAATATAGAGAATTTCAAACCTATAGTTTGAAAGAGGGGGAAAAATGAGAGCATTGCTGAATCTGCAAGGAAATGAAAACTTAAAATTAGGCAGGAATACATAGTTATTGACATTTCCAAGCTGAATCAGTTTCTCATTGTTGAAGTCACAAGTTCAAGGGAATCATATGCATCTATTACTTCACAAATGTTTATGTGTTAGGTAGGGTAAACCCTCTGACCTAATTTGCTAAGAAAATGCCCCAGTGTCAGGCATTTGCCATGGTTGGTCTCCTCCATGCCAGATAACAAACTTCTGAAACTTGGAATAGTTTTTGATGTAACTGGAGTCACAGTGTTCTGATAAAACAAAATTTATTTGCTTTCTGGCAAAATATAATCTGTCTTTAGATTCCACCCTTCAAGACAGATTTGAAGTAACTTTCATCAGTGTGATTAAGTTGTATGATTGACTGATATATCTGAAAATGTACTGGGAATTTTGATTGGCTTTTAAGTTGAAAGGTACATCTAATATTTACCCTGAAATTTGCAAATGTATATTAAAATTTGAAAATTATGAGTGAGGTTGAGGAAAACTGGGATCCAAATGTCTTTGTGACCGTGCGGTTTAGTATAGCAGGACAGTTCTCAGCCAGGGGCCAGGCACTTAGTTGTCATGGATTAAATTTGCTAAACATCCTGCAGAGAGAATTGCCTTAGAAAAAAATGTTTTGATAGGCAGGGTTGTTGAATTTTAGAATCCTTGATTTTTTAAAAATGTTTTTGGATCTATTACCTTTAGCCTGTAATTTTGACCTTTTATGAAAATGTGGTGCTTTGGATTTTTTAGTATGAACATGTTAGCCATACTTACCACTTTTAGGAGTCATTAGAGGGGAAAGTAAGGCATGAGCGACAGCTGTCCTCTTGGGGCTCTGAGGTGTAGACTGACATGTAGATCCAGATACCTAGGTGCTGTTTTGCATACTTAAATCCATGTCACTTCCATTTTGGTAACAGAGTTCAATTGCAGTTCCATTCCCTCTACAAACTATCTCCTGCTTTTTCAGTGCTGCTTCACTAATATCAAGTTACTAGATGGCTCCATTAGTGCAAATCAGACAGTATATATAGATGTGAAGTGTCAAAGACCAGTTTCAACAGGTCAGAAAATGCTGAGAAAGTAAGTGTAGAGTTGGCAGGGGCCAAAGCTGATGGCTCCTGGCAACTGGGAGCCAGTCTGCTTGTAACTGGCGACTGGGACCACTATTGTCCCAGTCTGAACTCTAGGGGCTGGCCAGTGATAAGGAAAAAAGAAAAGGAACGAAGGCATCATATATACACACTTAGTGGATGAAACAAAATAAGCTCCAGTAAGCAAGTTCCAACAAGCTTCAACAACTTCAAACATATAGACAGACAGAAAGGTATATACACATTTGCACATTGGTTAGATGGAGCAAAGCTTCAACAAGCTCTAACCATTGTGTGTGTGTGTGTGTGTGTGTGTGTGTGTGTGTGTGTGTGTGTGTG